ATCCACATTCTATTGTGGATCAGAGAAGTCAAGGAAGATTTGGCAGGTGTTTTCAGGGGTAGAATTATCGGCCCGTTTATTTATAATGGCACTCTCACATCTCAGAGGTATTTAGAAATTTCAAGGCAAAATAATAAACCCCCAGTTGATGAATTGCTTCTAATGGAGCTCAGAAAAATATATTTTCAACAAAACGGGGCTTTGCTCCACAACACTGCAATTGTCACCAATTTTTTGGCTGCAAATTTTGGTAATCAAGGACCCACCTATGCTTTTACCTCTGGGAAAGGTTGAAAGATATCATTTTTAAGATGCCAACCAATTCTAGATAATATTGGAAGCGGCAGTGATGTGAAGTTTTATTTCTCTTACTTCTATTGAACTAATTGATTCAGTAAAAAACGTTCATAAGCGGTGTCCCCAGTGTGTAGAAGTATCTGGTAGACATTTCGAACACCTTGTCTGAAGAAATATATTTCATTTTTATTATCGAAGTTCCATCCATTAGTAGTAAATATAGTATAAATTGTTCAGTTTTAGTGAAACTATGCGTTTTAATTATTGTTGTGAAGAGCTTTCTCAACATTTGATAGCTACTAGTGAATAATTTCTTTCTGTTTTATTGACGCCTCTTCCAAAGTCTACTTATTCAAAGTGTGCGTTTCAAAGTTTACATGAAAAAACCTAAAAGCTCTGTATTTCGAAGATGCCTCTAGCAAAACATCAAGTGTGCTACATTTATGGATAGGTAATTTTAAGCTCTATTGAAATATGCAGGAATATTGAAGGTGTCTCATTAAAAATATATTTTTCCATCAATAACTATTGATATCTCTTTTGAAAAAATTAGTTTTTTACACTATTGAATTCTATGTAAGAAAGTGCTTCGAAAATGTTTTCATAGAAACATGAACTTTTGACAGGAGAAAACTCACAGAAACTTTTCGAAAATGTGTATTTTCGAAAAACATGCTGTAACTCAGAAACGATGATAGATATCGATATCGATACACGGTTTTCACCATTGAGTTTGTCCTAAAATTTGACCCTCAGACGCAGCCATCAGTTTTCATCTATCTAGTTTGCGGAAGTTTACCTTCAAAAGTGTCCAATTTGGCTCACTCTGTACACATTCACTTGGTTGCATAAAAACTTAGTTTACATTTTTTAATTTTTTATGAGGTTTCTTATTTTTGTAGGCAACCTCTAGTGAAAAATTTGTGAATCATCGACTGTCTGTTATTAAGTTTAGAACCCACCTCTTTGGAATAAAATCCTGGTTGGTTCAACTACCCCCAAATCAAAATTCTAGTTTGAACTAAAACGCCACACTAGAAAAACTTATTCAATTAATTTCGAGGAATCTTATTGAACAAACACTTTTTTCGAGTTCGCAGCAAGGTACATCTTGAAAGAAATGAAACAACTACAAATTTAACGAACATTTTTAATAATAAAATAGGTATTGACCGTGAAAGTACATATTACAATAATTTACACAGATCAAAATAGATCACATTGGTTTTGGGTCGAGGAAAACACCATTTATTTATGAAAAATATACATCGAAGAGAGAGAGAGAACACAACGACACGTACATACAGTAATCTTTGATCCAATTTCCCGAAAAATAAATGAAAGGGAAACCTTTCGTTTCTCCTTCGAAAAATGGATTAGGAAACCTTTTTGGGGAAATAATTATACTATTTTTGTACTTGCCTTGAGGTAGTGGTTCAAGTGGATTTCTATACAATACATACGAGGTGGATACTAGAAGTTATAATTTTGCATTCCAAGAGTTTAAGTTTCGTTTTAATTAAATCGAGCTTGATTGTCACTTGGTATGCTTTAGAAAAATTGAAAAGTGAAATTTGTTCGAAGCATATTGTTCTCGTATTCACCTCATATTTTCAAGTAGGTAGATACGTATTTATTTCTTGCTCAATCTCTGTTTATATCTATACACTTTAGAAATCTAGTTAAAATCAGTCTTTTTCAATTTGTTGTGGAGAAGATTCGTTATATAGGTACATGGAAGTATTTTTTAAAAACAATTTTCAGTTCAGCAATCTGCATATTCACAAAAATTAAAAAAACCCGATTATTGGTTTCTTCTGTAGTAAAAAAATACATAGATTTGAAATCCCGTTTCCGAGCACTGAGCACTCGTTTGGGAAATGGAAATACAATTTCTGATGATAGATTTTTATGGAATTCAACGGACCGGTGAACTGAAATTAGCTATTTTTGTTCCAGGTGAAGTAAATTGAATATTCGACTATGAGGGTACAATAAAAAACGACACAGATATCTTAAAATTCCATATTTTACAATCAGTTGAAACAACGAAATTTCATACAAAAATACTCTGAACTATTTACATAAATAAAAATATATATGATGCATGAAATCTCGTCTAGAATGTAACGAAGGAACGAATCACTAAATAGCAATTAATATTAAATAACTAAAAATATTTCGTTTTGGTAACCCTGTATTATCAAAAAATAACTTAATTAACATACCCGTTAATGATGAAACTCTGCATAAAAACAAATTAATCAAAATGTTTTTAGGAAAATGGCACGAAGAAGTGGACAACCTTTTTTTTCAATCGAGACAATTACGTTTTGGACCATATACAGTGTATCTCAGCGCTAACAGAGTAACAACTCAAATCATAACAATCAAAACTAAAAACAGCCACGTTTCACAATTACCTTCTACGATGCAACATTCAAGAAGGAACGAACGATATTACAATCTCAGAAATTAAATCATGTCCACCCTGTAAAAAAATAAACAACCAATCACACCTATACAGACATTCATTATAAAAATCGATATGTATATGTACTATTTACAAAAAATATGTCATTGAAAATATCATATTCATGAAAGGTGAGTTGCAAAAAGTTCCGTTGGACAAAGTGTCACTTACTATTAAAGATATTATTTTCATCAAAGAATGTCCCTAATAAACCTGTTTCAGAACGAGTTGAAAGAGAACAATGAATTCAAACTATTGAAAGCAAATTCTTGGATTGCAATAGCGGTATGGAATTTCAGAGCACCTAGTGTGAACGTGAACTTTAAAAGCTAATTTATATTTATATATTTTTATTGAAGGGATGAATTTAATTACAAGAAAATCAGAATTTTTTCACAAGCATAGTTGATTTTCAAATCCTTTCAGACTATTGAAAATGTGACCTCAATAAAAAAATAACGCTTTTCATTTTTCAGTTTCAACTATTATTAAAATTTAAACATAGAAATAATATTGGAATATGAAAGCTATTTCATAGCTATTAGCGAGAATTTATCTTTTCCAAGCAACGATGGTTTACCAGTACTCACTGATTTAATTCGCAAATTTCAACTTTTCAATGTCAATCCATTCTGCAGAATATTTTCATAAAAAAATCTTATCAAACTATCTTCATGACATATGTAACTTGTAATTTTTGACCAACAAAGTGAGGGTGTAATTGTTTAATCTCAAATAAAAAACACTACGATGATATGTCAATAATGTTTGTCATTGTAAATGTTCTGTGACATTGTTAAAAATGGACTTTTTTAAGGCCTAGAGAGTACCGAAAGCTATAGTAATTATCCTGATTAAAAGTACTCCAAAATACATTCACATTCGAGTTAAGTATATATCAATCGATTTTTTCCAAAAATAATACTGCCTGAAACTGAATCATAACTCGAAGCACCCTGTATAGTAAGTGAAAGATAAAGTCACTGTTCTTTAACAGTTCACTCTCGGACACGTCACAGACCCCTTTTTGTATCAAATTTCAACAAATTTTCTTTAAAAACAAGTTCAGCCCTCTAGCCCTTGAACACAAAAGGAAGTTAATTTCATACCAGTTAACGGATTTGAAATTCAAAAAATAATGACGATGATAGTGTAAGTTTTTAAATATTTTCTAGTTAATAGATTTTAAGTAATTTTCGAGGGATTAGAACGAACCCTCGTCATGCCTCCGGTGTCAGTAGGGCCTTGTCTACAAAGCATCATTTGTCTGAAAACCATAAATATGAACTTCGCAAATTTCTCTAAAGGATGGTTACAGTTATCTGGAGCATAAATACAATGGGTTTCGGACCTTGTAAAGTAGTGCTGTAAACATCCAACAATCGCAAATTTTATTGTATGCAAATTCTTCTTGGTTTCGCAGGTAAAAAAATAATACCACAGATGGACCCAACTGTATGTTACCCAAAATTTTGCATTTTATGCAATTCCTGTTCTGAGAATTGACTTATAAAACTAAAAATTTCACCGAGTGAAGTCATCCATAAAACAACATAAAAATTGCAACCGAATATTACTAGAACTCTTGCATTCAGGATTTATCACAAAAATTTCAGTTTGTTAGAAACTTCAGAAGATTTTGGAATTTCCCCAGTGAAAAGCATTCATGTTTCCTCATAAATTTCGAATGCAATGTATTTTTAATAATTCAGTTGAATGTGATGGAACGTTGAAAAGATTCTTGAAATTTACTGTTTCACATCACAATAATTGCTGAATATAATTTCAAGTTTGCATAATCAGGAATAGACTGAAACTGAAGTCGAGAGACTAATGATGATGCTAGCGTTGATGAGGTAACAAAGTTCCTAGGACAAGTATTTTTTAGTTTGAATTTTGTTAGCAAGTAGGTAACTGTGATGTGAGTAGGTATATTATATTGAAAAAATATTTTTTACAAGTAAATAGATGTTTAACGTTCTACAGGTATTGAATCGGTTGATTTTTAAAACCTTTACAACTCACCATTGATCGCCTGTTTTTGATCGAAAAAAAATCCCATTCACTCCTAACAATGAACTACGACTATTGTTTGAGGAACTTGCATACCAAGATTATAATACAAATAAGAAAAATCATATCAAATCCCTGAAGTTATATATCCGAATGGAAATTTGACGTATATAACATACCCGTATATTCTTTCAAGCACAACTAGACTAGGACATACCCATCGGCCTTCTTTGCAAAAATATTGCTGCCGATTCATGAGGATCGAGTTCTTCTTCCTCAATTTCTTCCCTGGAACTCGGACTCCTCATGGGAGAACCGCCACTGGAGCTGTTTGAATGCATACCGGTGCTCATACTGAGGTCTTCTGGTTCAGTTTGTTCCGGAAGAACAACTTGGAGAGGAAGCGATATGATAGGCGTTGAAGGCGGGTGCAATACCCGCCTTCTCTTCAGTTCTTCCTCCTCAGAGTCGGGCGTCATTTCCTTATCAGAAACTCCGCATTTGTGATGGAGTAGGTGATGCCTCCTCCTAAACCTGCTCTGACACCTATCGCACGAAAAAGGTTTCTCATTCGTGTGGATCAAAATATGCGCTTTGAGTTGGTTGGAGTCGGAGAATTTGGCACTGCAGTGCTCACATGAGTAGGGCCTTTCGCCGGTGTGGACTCTGAGGTGTCGTCGGAGGTTGGCAACTTGCACGAACTGCCTGTCACAGTGTTCACAATGATATGGCCGTTCCCCAGTGTGTAACCTCATGTGAGTCTTCAAATGGTGATCTCTGGTAAACCTTTTGTGGCACTCTGGACATTCGAATGGTTTTTCGCCCGTGTGAGTCCTTTCATGGTTTTGGAGGACGTGCTTGTAACCAAAAGACCTAGAAAAAAGTTACTGATTCAGCACTTTTTCTGCTCAAATATGAAAGAACTAATCAAATGAAGGCAGCCTAAATCAAAACATTTTTATATGGTTCCTTACCTGTTACATACACCACACGTAAACTGTTTATCCCTGTTTGGATCCTTCACATCAGAACCAGATGGAGGAGATCCACTAGAAGTTGGTGAAGCCAAAGGAATATTTCCAGGTTCTTCTTCAATCTTATATTTCCTTTTTCTTTCCGTTGTTGTACTACTGCTAACTAAGTTGTTATTATTATTATTAATTTTCCTTGTACTCATGATTGGCGAAAGCGGTTCGGTGCTGGTTGGAGGTGAAGAAGGAGAGGTGGAAGGAGGAGAATTTGCTGGCCATGGCATAGGAAGCAGACCGGGATGGAAAAAAGCAGGGCTACCAGATAAAGTTAAGCCAGAGGCAGCCATGAGTTGACTGGCCATGAGGATTTGGGAGGGAGTGAACATTGCCGGATTATGGAATGCTGGATACCCGTAGGTATTTTGGTGTGGTTTTATGGGGGGTTCCTCTTCGACTTTCATTCCTCTGGAAGTTAGAATATCTGAAATGAAAATAAGAATGTGTAAGTGGTTGGGTGATCTAACAATTTTACAAATGTAGAAAACTTGGTTTATGTAGGGAACCATTCTCATTATAAAAGTTTACCAACGAATCGAAATTCACCAATTTCATTATCAAATCAGGTTTAGCATACAGTAGAATTCAATACTGAATATATACTGGATATATATTTTGACAAACTATGTTGAAAAAAAGAAGAGCATCACGATAAAAAATAAATTTTTTTCGAGTCATGATGATGAAGTTCATATATTATTAAAAGCTGGAAAGAAAATTTGAATATGGAGAATGACATCACAAAATTCAACATATACTTATAACTTTCGAAAAAAAAATCACTTTTTTTTGTTGGACCCATGACCTTATCTCACCCTCTTCAGTATGGATAAAAAAGACAAGTGTCAAAGATCGAATATGAAAAAGAAAGTTCACACTTCAAAATATCCAGAATGTATTTGTTATATTTTGTAGTTGTTTTAAGTAAGTGTTAACATAACCCAATATCTATTGGTGGAGTAGATGCTTTAAACAGATCATATTTTTCTTCGTTTGATAGAATCTTGTAAGAATTATCTACATATTTATCTAGAGACAGGACTCATTTATATGGAGTTCCAAAAAAATTGCTTCAAAATACGTATACCTTAGTTAAAACTAAGAAACATTAAATGATTTTATTGAAAAAAAAATAAGTATCTAATGCATTGTTTATTTCATGTCATAGATATCAAATATTTTTTTTAAAGGAAACATAATAAACGTGTACGATGGACCTAAGGGCAATGGTAATTGATCAAGTTTCAATGAGGAAGTAGTGAAGAAGACACGAATACCAAAAATAAACTAAGCTTCAACACAAACCGTTGAACGAAAAATCGCCTCCTGCCTCTCTCTGCAGCGTTTAGTACAAAATATTGTACTCACGATCCACCAGCGCTATTTCAATTGCCATATTTGTTATCTCACAGATGCTATCTATGGAATCGACAGAAAACCTTAACCTGATTGTCACATATAAGGGCGGGTCTTAAAACGGTCCGTTACAAAGCCAAGCTTCAACATAGACTGCCGAATGAGAATTCGCTATGTATTTCTCTTTGCAGACTTTACTAGTATCATCAGAATGACCTCCGGTATTACCAAGCTGATGATGTCACGAATTTTGTTCGTATTTTTCCACTTTTTATTCACACAGAATCATTTGGTCGTTTGCATTTCTGAAATGTAATGAAAAAACAGTATTTTCAAATGAAGTACTTCTTTTATTAATCTGGTTCAGAGCAAAGATTTTATCAAATTTCTCCAATTATTGTCAAAATTTATTGATTAAAATCAATCAACGCATTCTATCTCTCATTTTTCTCTGCGACCGTATACCATATTATTCCTTCCTATAAATAACCCCAATAATTCGTTGGAAGAATCGAATTCCCGCTAAATTTGAATGATAAACATGCCGAGTCAGACGCGTGAAAGCGACAGGATTTCATTGTCGTTCGGAAGAACATCAAGAAACGATATCTATTGAATTGAAAGAGATGAAACATTTTTTGATGTGTAATGTTGTATAAATAAGGCGGATGGAAGAATGGCACAGATAGGTTGACAGTGGCGTAGTTGCGATGTGAGTAGACATCAAGACAAAACGGCATTGTTCCATTACAAAAGAGTTCCTCACTTCTTTTTAGTTTGGGCTTTGAATATTTTAGGGCCGTTTCATGTAATTTTAGTTTGACTGGAGAAGTTTGTGCTGAATGAACATTGTAAATTAGAATAGATACCTAAAAATGCGTATTCTTGATAGAAAATGACAAATAAAACGCTATATATACCAACTATTAGTTTGAAATTACTGCAAGTAATATGGATTACGAATATTCTGAAGTATATATGTATATTGGGGCAGACATAAGGTAATTATGTATTTGTGCCTGCATGTGTGTGAATATAATTTAAATGACTACCTACTGATATTAAAACATTGATTTCATTTAACTCTAAATAAATATAAGTATCTGAAGAAGTTAAAGTTCGATAGTCTAGAAACTATTTCCTCTTTACTTGTGATGCCCTGTTTGGAACCTTTGGTGTAGTAAAGTTTAATCTTCCTCTTGAAGGTGATCACTTGGTGATCGAAACACGTGTCGAGGTGTTGAAAATAACTGTTTGGTGTTGGAATAAAACTCCAGTAATATTTATTTCCTCTATGTTGAATTTCGGTTCAATTTTCTTATTTCCTCTTTTCTTATTTTCTTATTTCTCTCTATTTTATCGTAGACTCAAATGAGTAACAGTTTTTATCAAAAGAATCATACTATCTCATCCCCCTCTCCTCAGAAAATATCTCTGGGCCGCGCCACTGCCTTCTCCACGTGTGTTGTCGCTTTATTCTTGTGGAAAACACGGGACACTGTTACGCAGACCCATAGAACGTCTTTTGGCATTGTGAGACGTCTTAGAGGACACTTTCAGGACGCATTCCGCTAGAACGGACATGAATGAGCCAATGATCTGCACATATGCCCATATTTATCGTGTTATGTATACGAGTGTTGCAACATTTCAATGGCCTTTGGCACATTTTCGATCGTTTGTCCAAACATTTCAGAACTGGAAGCGGTTTGAGCTATTATGTAGGCAGGTACTCAATCTTCAAAAAGTGTACGTGTCATTGCTTCAAGTATTTTTTGTCTAACTCGTTATAGATGATACTGAAGATGTTATTCGAATCAGTTTCTTAAGCGACATGGAAAATAATTTTTTATAATGTTATAACTGGGAGTGTAAAAGCTTCATACCTACATTTAATAATATATTGAAATATTACCAATACAACCAAAGGAAATAACCAAAGTGGCCAAATAAGGTTCGTGCTCGTGCTGTCACTAGCGTTTTGAAAAACTTTTGAATCAAATATTGATAATAATTTGAAAATAAGAATCCATTAAGTTCTGGGTAGATGCCAGACTCACAGTCTTGGGGTTTTATCAAAATCATTATATACCCAAGTCATTCGCTCAACAATATTTCAAAATTATTTGCTTTGTAGATATTCAGTCCATTCAGCTTGGTGAACTCGGGATATATTCCTTGAATGTTGCCAATGCATAAAAACTAAGAAAAAGTTGAAGGTAGTTTTTATAGTTTTAAGCGATTGAATGCACTATGCTCTGTCCATCTAAGCTACGGAGTGCTCCAAAACATGATCATGCATAGTGCACGTAATCTCCCAGACAAAGCTGCTTGTACAGAGTCGCACTACCGAAATTTCATATAAATATTATTTTTCTAATAATATGCAGCTGGAGTGTAGGGATACAAATTAGCAATTTCTTCAGCCATATCACTACTTGAAATTTTAAAAATTCAAAAATACTGTATATGTTCACACCAAAGGCGTTAAAACGTAACTGACAACTCCGACAGCCGATTGCAGTTAAATCTGATTGGTCAGCGTAAGGAGGCTTGTTTATTTTACCCAATAGATGCGAATACTCGTGGTGATCATTCTTTGATCACACATCTATATATGTTTGAGTTGCTTTTTTGTTGAATGGATATAGCGTAGACCTGTTTTTGAAACCATATATTTGTTTTTAAATATCCCCAACTTGTATACCAAGCTCAATCGATTGAAATACATGCAATCCCACAGTTTTTGAAATTTTGATTTCAAGCTGTCTGTATTTTTTACAGTATACAGTATAAATGAGTTTTGTTGAAATTTGTAAGAAAATGTTTTGAAGGTTGGAAACAGTCAATATTTTTGTAAATAAACATTTTCCAATAAAAAAATCAGGTTAATATCAACACTGCTTCTGATTCCTTTGTACGAGTGCGCACAAAGGGGCAGTGATGACGATGATTTCACATTTAATAAATACATCAAAGCATTCGATCGTCTTTCACGTTCTATGGTCCTTTCGTCCAAAGTATGAAAATAATTAAAAACTAAATTAAAAGGAAGAAGGCCGATATCAATTCAGCGCTTCCATTTCTCCTCTCCAATCTCCCTGCCAACCGAGACACTTTGAGCGGCTCGGGAGGTAGAGGGGTGCCATCAAAGATTTTTGGGCAGGGAAGGGTTAAAAACGGAAGACGTTCCTAATGAACGAAAGGGAGGAGATAATGGCAAAGGATAATGGCTCGCTTCTGCGCGATCCTTGAGCAAGGAAACGGGGAGGAGTTGAAGGATAAGTCTTGAGGATTCATTATATTATCTTTTTTGCCTTATTTTATTATGACCGAGTTTTAATGGATACGCCGTGGCCATTATTCCCGGCTTTGATGGTATTCCGAGAGAATGGAAAACGTTTATTATTCAGCACACAGAAGCATCTCCTGAAAACTGTTTCTCGTTTCAGATTCGCTTTGTGATAAATACGCGATTTGGGTAGAGTATTCAGACGAAAATAAAATGTAGTCCTATCAAAAATTTGAATGGGGTTCTGTTCAAGTGGTAGAATACATTGATCTTTATTTTCATTAGGATTACGTGTTCTCACCATCATCTCCACTAAATTAGACTAGTGAAAATTTGAGTTATGAACTTGACTACGAACGTCATCCCAATTATTTTTGTGGTGGTAGAGTTTCTTGTTTTGTAATTAGTTTATAATTGGCTTACCACTTCATATAAATGTGTAAGGTATATTCTTGCAAACTGGAAAATATCTACTACAGGTCAACCAATACCTAAAAAGGGAAGAAACGCCTCCTAAATGATTACAGACCGATCTGTCTGATAGCGGAGAATTCTTTAAACTCCTTTAACGTTGAAGAATACTGAATGCTATTGATAAAGAATATCTGGATGTGAGTTTAGATGGACACATCGAAGGCGTTTGACCTGGGAACCTATTCGCAAGTTTTCCGCTGAAGACAGTTATATTTGCACTGTCTGATCCTCACAAGTCACTCTTAGGCCGGCGCAAGTTGAGGCACACGTGACGCAGGGTGACTCACAGTGATT